GTGTTAGCCAGGCTGGTCTCGATCTCCTGACCTCATGATCCGCCCGTCTCGGCCTCCCAAAGTGCTGGGATTACAGACTTGAGCCACCGCGCCCGGCCAGAATTTTTAATTAAACTTACTGTTTCGAGAACGCTTGGGGGTCCCAATGTGTAGAATGGGAAAAATACTGGAAATGAAAATCTGTGATAGTTTAGTTTTTATTTGCCTTATTAATATTCAGATGTAAATATGTTGCCTTGATTCTGATAGTTGAGAATGTCATGAGGATTTAAAATACATTGCATACTTTTATAGGTCTGGAGACTCAACAGCAAGAATATGGAATCTTAGTGAGAACAGCACCAGTGGCTCTACACAGTTAGTACTTAGACATTGTATACGAGAAGGAGGGCAAGATGTTCCAAGCAACAAGGATGTCACATCTCTAGATTGGAATGTGAGTATGACTATATCCATGATGGATATAATTACTAGTATACCTAACCCTCAGAGCCTCAGACTCATGGCAGGGTTTGTCTATTTGTTCAGAATTTGGGGTTTTATTAACTAGTAACAACAAACTGGGAGTCGTCACCTGCCAGCCCTCTCCTCCACTGTGGTGTTAAAGACACAAACTTGCCTTAGACCAGGGTACAATGTCCAGCTCTTTAGTGTATCCCGCAGCATCTCCTTGGTTAAATTGTTACTGTTTACTCTGTACTTCGTTTTCCTTAAATGTCAAGTAGATCTGTGAAAATGGTACCTAAATATTTGAGATAAAAGGCGAAAATTCTTACCATAATAACAAACAACATACTAAATCCATAACAACCGAGTTCTTAGTTGGGGGATAAAAGAATTTTATGTAGCAGAAAACATGTTCTTGTTTTTCTCTTTGTTCTGTGAACTGTTACAACTTTATTACCAATTTCCTTTTAGGGATCATTAGTCTAGATAATGTCTAAATTTTATTCCCACTGTAGGAATCTTCTAATTCTCTGATTCTATGTATGATTCAACATCTTTCAGGACAACTTGACTACTCTGACTTACAAAAAACTTTCACTTCATTGTTGATAAATTGTCATCGTTTAGTTGTAAATAATATCTCTTACCTCACCCTGCTAGCCCCTGCCCCGCCCCCAAACCTCTTAGATATAGTTCAGCATTGCAAAGAATATCTCACGATAGTAGTTCTTCCTCAGCAAATGAATGTTCTTTTCTCTTCTATTTAACAACCTTTGTGGGCTTTCTAAAGGATCTTCTAATTCTTTTCCCAAGGAATGAGATCTATCTTTAAAATCATTATTCCCACTAAAGTTCTCAGTTTCTGTGACATGTTTTTTCAGAAATCATAACTGGGTATTTTTAGCATTTTCTTCCAAAATTGCCAGCAGCATGTTTACTCTTCCCCTCCGTATGACAATTCTAAAAATTCCAAAGGGGTTTAGCACATTGTAGTATTATTTACTTGTAGGATCAAGATAGGATTATTTTCTTAATATAGGCCCTTATTGTATCTTAGTTCAGACATCTTATAGCTTTCTTATGCTACCTGGCCCACTGGTCATGTTAATTTAATGAAATTTACAGTTTACACTGAAAAGGATGGTTAATGAATGAATATTGGTTTGTTCAGCTTGGTAGTTCTGAACTGCATTTTATAGTTTTGAAAAGTGTGGGCTTTTTGAAAATGTGTTAATCACGGTGAGCTTGGAAAACATCATCCTCGATTAATGATTCTTTTTCATGGCTAAAGCAAGAGAGCCTGTGAGATTTCTCATCTTTAAAGTATTCTTTTCCTAGTTGAGCAGTTCATGAACTAAAACATTTAGGGACTGATAGTTTAGAGGAAACTTAACATTGTGTAGAATCTGGAAATAAGCTTTTACTGTTGACTTCAACATGGCTCCCCTTCTTCTTCAGATAGAGCCCTAAGGGATTGCCATGTCTTAGCAGAACTGAGTCTGCAGTTCCCAGAACCAGCATTTGTTTTTGTTTGTCACTTAGCCATACTCCTAAAATGGCTTGAGAGATGTGAAATAGGTGATCTTGTTTTGAATGCCCTTACCAAAACCCATCAAGAATATGTCAAGTAATGCAGGATTTCATTCTCCAGTAATGTTTAGTCATTCTAACAATAGTCTGTTTACTATAATCTGTAACTTTTGCGTTTGCATAGAGTTAGTTAGATCTGTCCTTTTATTACACCATTCATCCAGGCAAGGCGCATAGCAAGGGAATATAAGTTGAGAGAAATTTATATGGACTTTTCCTCCGGTAAAGTAGGCAGTTATACTTACTTCATTAACTATAAAGTCAGCCTGCGCTCTTTTCTGGCTCTTTTGCTTGTGTTGCTCTTTTTATTGGCAAATATTTCATAGTGGGAAGGGATTAATAATAGAAAGGAACATTCAAATGTTTAAGAATCCGATCATTTGAAACGATGATATTGTTTGGATCATACACACACACTTTGTTTTAGACAGTAAAGGATTTAGAGGAATGGCCATATAAAACCTTCTAATCACATTTTAAAGTTTTCCTTTTTTTACTTCTAATAAATCATTCTAAGATTATGAATTTGATGTTCGCCCCAATCCACCACCCTACCTTCATTCTTAGTTGTGTGAGTCTGTGAGACTACTTTGGGCATGCATGAGGCGGGATGATGTAGATCCTCGTCCAGAGCTATTACTGTCAGTTGTTGAGCTTTGGATATAAGGCCCCCGTACAACACTAGCTTCACAACAGTGAAAGGGTTTCATAGGCCTTTAGTGGCACTCACAAGTAGGCAAAACTGGCAAGTTTTGAAGCAGAGAATGTCTTCATTCTCTTCTGTACCTGGGATTTAAACATGAGATACTTCAACAACAATTAAATTATAAACCGTATCTAGATTATATAATTAAAGAAATGTTTTTCTCTGGCAGAGTGAAGGTACACTTCTAGCAACTGGTTCCTATGATGGGTTTGCCAGAATATGGACTAAAGATGGTAAATGAAGCATTTTCCTTTTTATTTTGTTGTTGATCTGAAGTTAGAAAATTTAAAGTAATGTTACTGTTTTTCTTTTGAATTTTAGGTAACCTTGCTAGCACCTTAGGGCAGCATAAAGGCCCTATATTTGCATTAAAATGGAATAAGAAAGGAAATTTCATCCTAAGTGCTGGAGTAGACAAGGTAAAAGCTCATTAAGTTCTGTAAAGGTGAATGTATTACAGGGTTTAATTGAAAGCAGTGTTTTGTCTTAGCTGCCAATCACATAAACATTCCTATTTGGGAAATTCAAATATGAATTTATGATAGAAATGCTTTCTTAGGTCTATCAGCTCTTTCCTGAATCTACTTATCAAAATGTTTTTATCCTGTTATCTGTGTGAACACTTTTAATTTTAGCTGGAATTTGAGCCATAACCAATGTCATACCTCCTGCACTTTTTGCTTCCCTTCTGCGGTTTCTAGTTAGTCTCACCAGTGAACATGGCTCTGGAGTGAATCCATGGGAAATTCTAGAGCTGGTCTGTTAGCCAACTCCTGGTACTTAAGTGAAGCTAATATGAAATGCAGGATCTGTCTAGTCTTCATCTAACTTGGCTGGTGAATATTGATGAATTGGAAATACGACCTCCTTCCTCCTAAATAAGGGTTTAAGATTATCTTAATCCAGGAAGGGACATGATAATAATTGAGTGTGGTGTCAAAACAGGGTAGTGAAGAGAAACTGGTTCACTCTTTATATTCAGAGAGCAATAAAAAAAGTGGCAAAAGGGGAAGAAAAGTGAAGTAGGCTGGGAAGGAGAGAGATTGAGTCCTGTTGATAGTCACTGCCACTATACAATACTTGAGGTTCTTGCTTTAAGTATTGCCAAAATTCAAAGCTGCCTTTTTGTGTAAATATGAGCCTTTAAAATCTTTCAATGTTGAGAACTGATTGCATTGTTAACCAAAAACTTACTCTCTTAGTAAACATCTATATGAATCTTACGTTAATGTACTATTGCAATGGAGTTTTTAAAGCAAAATCTAATACAATTCCTCACGCTTTGTAGATTGCCAGTAATTGTTATTTGAAGTAAGTTGACCGAGCAGAATCATCAGGGAAAAACCAAACTACTTAATAGTCATTTGCTCGGAAAGTGGAGTATAGCCTTGTGGTACTATTTGGGATAAAGTGTTTAAAATTAAATCCACTCTGACATTGCATATTGCTTTAATACAGTTAGGCATATAATTTACGCATCTATGATAAACTTCTTTGCATGAGTTTATTTTTCTTTTCCTTTTACTCTCAGACTACAATTATTTGGGATGCACATACTGGTGAAGCCAAGCAACAGTTTCCTTTTCATTCAGGTAAATTTCTTATAATTTACGTGAAAGCTGGAGCTTGCTTCTGTTTTTCTAACAAAACTTCTAACAGCATATAATTTATTTTAAATGTTGAAATATCAAGTATCAGTCTTGTTACTAGTCCTTTCGAGAGTTGATGTTCCATGACATTCAGACTCTTAATTGTCAGAGGATCATCAAACGTTTTCTGTGAAATGCACCATAAATAAAGCATTTGCAGCCTGGTGCAATTAGGGGTGGCATTATTTAATGGAAAGAACATAGATTTTTGAATCAGAAAATCTTAAGTTTGAATGTCAGTTCCACTCCACTTAAGAAGCATTAAGACTGAGAGAGTCACTTAACCTTTCTGAGCCTCCTTTTCACTATCTGTGAATGAGGGATACTAATAATAATAATAATGCCTATTTGTTATGGGGATAAGACTAAATGATATACATGAAAATACTGCATAGACTCCTGTAGGTTTAGGTATTGTCATTTTCTCATTTTGGATCGAGGTACCTGAGCATCTGTCTACCTGAAGTGAACAATAGACTTTCCCAATGTTATTGGAATGTTGGTGGCTTAGATGGATTTCTCTTTTAAGAAATACTCAGTCTGGTACTTTTATCTGATTAATCCGACCTCGAAAATAGTGCTCCGTCCTGCATGATATACAGCCACACACCCAGACATTCAGCTTGAGTAGAGAGCCAGGCATATTTTTGTGCCTGCGCTCCATTTCAGCCTAGAACCTTTGCACCACTTTTCAGTGAGTTTCCTGACTGCAGGAACTAAATGATGTTAAACTGGAACAAGATACCCAGTGGTTTTAGTATTACCTGATTCAGCTGTCTCTCTGATTTTGTTGTGCTGGAAAAAATTTTAATTTGGAGACTGACTAAAATAATAACCCTGGTTCTTCTCAAATCTTTGATGACATCCTTTTACAAACAGCCAGTGGCACAGCATCAACTTTAAACTGGAAATTTGCAACTTCAGGCATTTTGCTTTTTTTCATTCTTTGTTTAATGTGCCTAAACAAGCAAAATAAGGTGCAAAATGATTTTTCTGTAGTATCTGAATAAGTTTGCAAACATTGTTAAACAATTCCACTTGATGAACGCTCACCACTCGAATAAGCATTTACACACATTTTTGTTCACCTGTTGTACTTCCTTTTCACCTTTGCTTCTAGTTTTCAGAATTCTGTCAGGCTTCTGGCTGTTAATCATAAAAATTTCTCATACATCCTAGGAGTAATGTAAAGTTGAAGTATGTTTATGGTACTGTTGCTGGGTACCATATGATTAGTACCAACTTTGTGTTGGAGATGATGCTCTTTCTGTCCCCTTTAGTCCTGACTGCAACCTGATGAGGTACATAGTATGAAAGTATTTTTATGAATAAATAAGCTTCAGTTTACCCATCGTATTCTTTCTTACCATACTTTTGTTTTTAAAAACAGTTTTATTGAGGTACAGTTGACATAAAATGAACTGTATATATTTTACTTGAACAATTTGATGTATTTTGACCTATGTATACACCATTGAAACTATTACCACACTCAGGATGATGAATATATCTGTTAACCTTCAGACATTTCTTGTTGTCCCTTAGTAATACCTCTCTCCCATCCCCAGAGATTAGATTACATTATATGATTGGAATCATAAAGTACATACTCTTTTTTGGTCTGTCTTCATTCATTCTGCATAATTTTTAATTCCTGCAATATACAAAATATGTCTTATTCAACTGTTTATATTATCAGTAAGGCATCTAGTCAACAGCTGGCTATTAGTTGGTAAGATTTTGGGGATTCAAAAAGCTATATGCAGATTTCCAACTGCACAGGGGGCTGGTGCTCCTAACCCTCACATTATTCAAAGATTAATTGTATATCATATGTTCAAAAAGCTAAGTAGAGACACAGAAGATGTCATTAAACTTCTAGAGGCAAAAACAACATGTGAGATGAAAAATGCCCCGATAGGATAAACCATAGATTTGATGCTGCAGAAGAAATGATTTACAACTTTGGAGGCTGCATAGAATCTATCCAAAAACAGAGAACATAGACTGGAAAAGAGGGTGGGGACAAAGCATCAATGAGTTGTGATACAACTTTGGACAGACTAATACCTAAGTAGTCAGAATCTTAGGTAAAAAGGTAGGGAAGAGGGGCAGAAAATAAAATGAAGTATTTAGCCCATTTAAAATATCACCTCAAGGTAGATGGTGACCAGTTAAAGGTGTGCACTGTAAATCCTGAAACCACCACTAAAAATAAAGAATTACAGGTAAGAACCCACTAAAGGAGAAGAAAGGAGAAGAAAATGTCATCATAAAAAATATCCAATTAATCAAGATGGAGGTAGAAATACAAAAAGAGGAAGAACGGAAGAGATAAACAGAAATACAGTAAATTTAAATGTAACCTTATGACAAAGCAAATTAAGTGTAAATGGCCTAAATATTAAAAGGCAGAGATTGTGAGATTAAATCAACAAGCAAGACTCAACTGTATGCTGCCTATGTAAAATAGACTTCAAATAGAAAAACATCAATAGACTGAAAATAAAATGATGTGAAAATGTATACCATGCCATCACTAATCAAGAGACAGCTGAAATGGCTACGTTAATAGACAAACTACATTTCAAAGCTCAGAAGACTTACAGGGAAAAAGGAGGTTATTAATACAATGTTAAACATTGTATTAATACAATGTCAATTGTAATACAAGTCAATTCAAAACATTTTAAAATGACAGTGCATTTAATAATACTTTCAAAATGTATGAAGCAAAAAATGATGGAGCTTCAAAGGAAATAGAAATTACGGGGCTTCCAATTACTGTTGAATATTTCAATATTCTTCTCTCAATAATTGATGGAATGAGAAGACAGGAAGAAGGAATTAAGTCTGTAAACGATTTGAAGATTATCTAGTAACTTGACCAACTAAATGACATTTATAACAACAATGGAATTAAATTAGAAATCAGTATTAGAAACATCTCTGGAAGAGCCCAAATACCCAGGAACCCACACTTTTAAATAACTCATGGGCCAAAGAAGAAATCAAAATTAAGTTAGAAAGTTTTATATTTGACTACAGATTTTATGAATTAATAATATATTAAAATCCATTGAATTGTATACTTTAAACAGGTGAATTGGTATGTGAATTATATGTCAATAAAGCTTTTTAAAAATGAAGTCAGTAATAAATGCATCCTTCTTCGCTCATAGGTTTATTCCTTCTCTTTTAAAATTACGGAGGCTACATGGGTTAATGAAAGTAAATCAGAACAGGAGTGGATTAGACAAAAATTTTAACTTCAGCTCCAAGATTTTAAAAAATTGTATAATTGGGAAAATTAAGTTTTCTTAGCCTCTTACATGTAAAATGAGACCGCTGTTAGTGAACACACCTGTCTCACTTGTCAAGTACATAAAATTTTTTTTTTAAATGTTAGAACTTTCTTTCTAAAAAGCTTGTACTATCAAGACTCATTTTAGGAATAAATATAAAATAAAGAGGTATGTGTTCTTTGATTATATCAATCTGTAAGCACTGTATTTTATGAGGCAGGCATATCACAGAAGCATTAATCACACAGCTTACGTTGCAACATTTCCTACATCTCAACAATCTTGATTTGGTTATGTAGTTTGGTTTTTTTTTGTTTTCTTTTTATGAACCTAATAGCTTATTTGTTTTAATGCTGTTTTTTTTTTGTTTGTTTATTTTAGCCTCCTCTCTAACATTTTGCAGGCTGCCCTGTATAAAATTAACACCCCTGGAACATCCTGACGGATATTTGGCCTTCTTAATAACATTTTAGTGTATCTTTAACTGTCTTCTAAATCAATTAGATTTTTCAGGCTTCCTTCCCTTCCCCATTTTTTGCACTTGTTAACAATAGAAAGATTATTTACCAAAGAAACACTAAAATTTTTAGAATTGTATTTTAAGTAATAACATTTAATGTTAAAATGAAAGTGCACAGTAGTTACTGAATTAGCTTCCATGGAGGAAAATGGAGTGTAAACCAAACAGACACTCCAAGAAAGGGAATTTAATACAAAGAAATAGTTGCAAAGGTGTTGGGAAGAGTGAAAAACTAAGGAATAGGAGGTAACCCAGAGACTAATTGAAGGAAGTCTAAGACTCTAGAGGAGAAGGCAGGACGTGATTGTCTCGTAGGGACTGGGGTGTAGAGGATAGGCTGCCTGGCAATACTCAACACCCAGTCTGAAATGATGGCAATCGTGCCTGTCGTCTTACTACTCCTGACTTTGGACTCCTCACTTTGAATTCCTGACAGTGTCTTACATTGTATGAACCCACGTGGAAACCACTAGGCACAGGAACCTGGGAAATAACTTACAATAGCCCTCCTGGGTTTCTCATCCTAGCAGGGCAGAGTACAGAAAGGAACGAATGAGAGTTGACTGCCAAATGAACAGGACAGTCATCCACATTGCTGTCAGAAATGGTGATACACACAAACAGAGGCAGAGTTCACACATCATGCTGATAAAGTTGGCACATATTTTTGTTTGCTAGTTGATTTAGGTTGGGTTCTCCTAAAAGGCAGGCCCTGTGCCAAACATTTGAGTGACGTGACTTATTGCGGAAAACCTCTTAGGAGAAATAAGTGAAGAAAGACGGGAAGCAGGATGGGGGAGTGGGAAGAAGCCAAGGAAGGAAGTGATCGCTGGTGAAGAAAGGCCCAGTCTCAGCCTGGTGCAGAGGGGAGCTTGCACCTCACGTTTTTCTTACATTGAACCAAGGATGCTAGGTCTTTAGATCTCCCCTCCTTCCCTCCTTCCCCCAAACATACCCAACACCAGCTTGGATACGCGTCTTCTAGGGAGGACGCAGCAGCAGAGCAAGGCAGTTCTGTGAAGTTTGTCCCTGGCAGCCTTTAGCAGTGAAGCACTCAGCTGGGAATTGTACACAGCACAGGCAAAAAGGCTTATGGGCAGGAAAACCAAACACCAGCTAAAGCAGTGCTGCTTCATGACTAGTATAAAAGTGCAGCTTACAACGTACTCAGCCTGACAGCTCTGAAGTGTGGTTTTTGATTGTGTTTACTTTGTTGGGAATTCTCATAATTTGAAATTTTGTATAAAAGGTGAATTTATGTTAATAATTTCATATGGCACTGTGTTTGTTAAAAAGTTGACTGAGGGAGGGTTAAATGTTTTAAATATAGTTATTCGAAATTTCATATACCCTCCATAGTAAGTTCCCATTAAATATTTTCTTTCCAATCTATTTCCTTTATGAACTTAACTCAATCCAAGTGGTGTCCTGATACCTAGTTTTTCATTATAGAAATATACCCAAAACTATTTTAATGTCTGGTCATATTACTACAATTAGCTTCTTTGTTCTTTAGTACATAGTACTTTTAGATTTGGGGCTTACCTGATTTGTCTTTCGCCAGGCAATGAAATCAGTTTCTCTTTCCTGTTATCCTTTGTCTTTTTTTAAAAAAAGTCTCCGTATAGTTCTGATTAAAATTTCCTTTCTGAGTTCTAAATGCTTTAAATCTTCTTTTTGCATTCTTTTTACTTCTCCTATCCGTAGTTAACAAGTTCTTATGCATGACATATCTCTTGGCTTATAAGTTTAACTGCTTAAGCACCTGTTTATGTTTCATTTTTAACATAGCCAGTTACTGTTATACTTGGATATACGCAATGAGGGAGTTCGTGGCTTTGTTTTCCCTTTCCACAGACATCTCTAATCTCCTTTATTAAATGCTTTGTATTTCTACTAATTAATATACATAGCTAAACTTTTTTTTTTTGTTTTTTGAGACAAAGTCTTACTCTGTTGCCCAGGCTGGAGTGCAGTGGTGCAGTCCTGGCTCACTGCAGCCTCGATCTCCCCAGGTCAAGCAGTCCTCCTGCCTCAGCCTTCCAATAGCTGGGACTATAGGCATGGACCCACTACACCTGCTTAATTTTTTATTTTATTTTATTTTTTAGAAATGAGGTCCCACTCTCTTGCCCAGGCTGGTCTCAAACACCTGGGCTCAGGTGATTCTCCTGCCTTCACTTCCAAAGTGCTGAGTCACACCTGGCCACACAGCTCAACTGTAACCCTCTTGTTTTTCTCCTTTAGTTTTTTCTTTAAATTAGGGTTGATAAACTTTCACTAAAGGACTTGAAAGTATTTTAGACATTGCAGGCCATAAGATCTCTGTTGCCCCTAGTCAGCTCTGCCCTTGTAGTGAAAAAGCAGCCATAGATAATATGCAACTTAATGCATTTGTCTGGGTTTCAATAAAACTCTTATTTATGGACACTGAACTTTTAAATCTTACTTCACATTTGTATGTCTTCCTTTGATCCCCTCCTCCACCCTTGCAATATAAAAGCCATTCTTGGCTCATGTGCCATAGTTTGCCAACCCCTGCTTTAAATGCAGTGTCTTTGATATACTTCTGTTGCTTAACCCAGTTACTCGCTTAACCCAGTTACTCACTATCATTACCGTAATCTGTGTTGCTAATTACGGAGATCCTTTGCACCTTGCAGCAGGGGAAAAGGATGTTCAATAATTTCAGAGCTAAACTCGGGCAAAGTATTAAATGCGAGCCTGGTTTGGGGCTTTGGAGGTTTTAAATTCATTGATTTTAAGGGGCATTTGCTTTTAACAGGTGTTTGACAAAAGTTGCTTAGAAGAAAATTATTTGGAAATCATATGCCGTATTCCATTTGTTAGTTAAGTAGATAATAATGGGAATGATACATATTCAGTATAACACTTGTCTGACTCTTGTGATTTACAAAGTACTTCCACATACATTACCTCACCTGGTCTTCACCATATGTACTAAGGATAAAGATAGTACAAGTTTAGTATCCCTTATCTAAGTGTTTGGGACCATGATTGTGTTGCACTTTTTATTTATTTTTTTTCTGATTTTTGAATATTTGCATATGCATAAGGCAATATCTTGGGGATGGGACCCAAGTCTGAACATGAAATTAATTTATGTTTTACATACACCTTATAGCCAGATGGTATCATTATATAGTATTTTCACTAGTTCTGTGCATGAAGTAAAGTTTGTATTAAGTATTTAATGTGTGGAATTTTCCACTTGTGGCATCATACTAGCATTCAAAAAGGTGGAGATTTTGCAGCATTGTGGATTTTGAATATTCAGATTGGGGTACTCAACTTGTGTGTTAATCCTCACTCTAGATGAGGATATATCATAAGAGGTTAAGTGACTTGCTTGTGTCCACTAATTAGGCAGTGACACAACCGAGGCTTCTTGTCCATTGAGCACTCACGGATTTTAGAAATGAAAAGCATGATATCTTCACGTTTAATTTTATCATTTTATAAAAGAGAACCCAAGACCCAGTGCTAGTAATTTACGGAGCCAGCTCTCAGGGACCTTCATCTCCCAGTTACTAGGCCAGTGTACTTTCTTTTAGGGCCTGCCTCACCTAGAAATAACTAAATTGAAATTTGTTAATACTGTTATATATAGATACCTTTATTTTAATTTTTTCTTAATATCTTAAAAAGTATAAAGTAAAATGTTTAAGTGCCTATTAGTGTATTTTATTAGTCAACAATGGTTCAAAGCTAAAACTCTTGGATTTTAGTACATGTGGAATAAATGCAAACCTTACATTTGTTCTTTTGCAGCACCAGCATTGGATGTTGATTGGCAGAGCAACAACACCTTTGCTTCTTGTAGTACAGATATGTGCATTCATGTCTGTAAGTTAGGACAAGACAGACCTATTAAAACATTCCAAGGACATACGGTAAGGAACCTTTTTTCCACGTTAAAGTGGTCGTGGTTAACAAGTAACGTTTCAGAATAGTTTTAAAACATACATAGTTTTAAAGTATGTATGTTTAATGTTCAAATAGCTACCCAGTCTATACAATGAAAATGTGAATATTTGCTGTTATTTTTAGAATGAAGTAAATGCTATCAAATGGGACCCAACTGGCAATCTCCTGGCCTCCTGTTCTGATGACATGACTTTAAAGGTAATTTGCTTAGTAGGGAGAAATGGGATGGGGTGTCACACACTATGATTGCTCTGTTTTAAGATCATTTAGAATGTGTCTCTTACATTGAGTGTTTATGTCTGGATGAAAACTCCGACATTTTAAATGGCTAACCATTGGTTTTTAAGTTTTATACTTTCTTTTCTGAAATACGTAAAACTATTTGAATGTAGCAAATTATATTAAAATGATGGCTTATGATACAATGGGACTTTTATGATACCCTGTTAGTTAGGGTTCTCCAGAGAGACAGAACCAATAAGAAGATGGATGGATGGAT